CTGAGCTACAGCCACCCCCAATGTGACCTAAAGAAAATTTCTTATGCAATTCTCCGCAATTTCATACACTTGATTTTAAAATAATTCCTGTAGGCCCTGCATCTTGTTATAATCTTTGAATAAATCAATAGTAAAGGATACATTTCTTCAAAGTAGTCAATGTGTGGAGGTTGTAGTATATCCAGCGCAGAGAGCACCTGAGAACAGAGATAAAGCTGTGGTCTGTTTTCAGGCTGAATGCAATCATGCAGGCAAACATTTCTTTTTCCTTTCTAGAGGAAACTATAAGCTCCATTGTGACATTGTTATGTACTTACATTCTCATGTTTGAAGAAGCACAGCATCTTCAGCTCACGAAATACCCTCTTACAAGAAACAAGGTTTTGGAAGACATTAGGCATCTTTTTGAGAGCAACTCGCTTTCCGTCTCTGGGGTCTGTCACTGACCTGGGTGAATATGAAAAAGAAATTCACAAAAATTATAACATTGGATGAAAAGTTAGATAAATAGATCAGCAGAACAAATCATGTCATGGATTGGAGTAAGTTATAAAAATATTTCAGTATTTTTTCATCACATTTTTGAGATTTGGTTTGTTTTTGTTTTTTAAAGGACCATTTCCCACAACCAACTTTAAGCATCACTATTATCAAATCTCAAAAAGTGCATTTTGTGTATACATGCAAGGGTTATGTCATCTGAGACAAGTGGCTGGTCAAAACAAGTTACACTATATGAAAGGCGTCTTTTTAATCTAAATTTACGACCCGATCTTCCAGGCTCATCTTCCACTTGTAATTTCTGCAGTCAAACTAACTTTTTAAATGTAGTTTTTTTTTTTTAACAACAAAGAATTAATGGGCAGCACGGTTGCACAGTGATAAGCACTGTTGCCTCACGGCAAGAAGGTCCTGAGTTTGATTCCACCACCTGCCTGAGGGCTTTGCATGTTCTCCCCATGCTGGTGTAGGTTCTCTCTATGCGGGTGTGAATGTGAATGGTTGTCTGTCTCTATGTGTTAGTCCTGCGACAGACTGGCGACCTGTACAGTGTATCCTGCCTCTCACCCTATGGTAGCTGGGTTAGGCTCCAGACCCGGGGCACTGACAAGGATAAGCGGGAGAGAATGGATGGAACAAAGAATGACGCTGATGTGAAAGGAGTGGCCAGAGACGAGATTAGGAGAAATTCCAGACAACGAGAGAACTTGGCAAAAGTGTGAAAGAAACCATGATATGTTGGGATGTGGCCGGATTTGGTGATGAAGAGAGGGTCTGAAGGTAATGCGTGCTGGGATTTTCTAAGGTAGAGGAAATGGGTCAACAAGTCAAAGTGGCTTAAAGGCAAGATTATTTTGAATTAAAATATCGAAAGGGGGCTGCCCAATTGGTTGGTTTTCCTCTGTTTGAGGAGAAGATGAGCCAGTCTTCAAAGACTGGGTGGAAGTCGCTTAAGCAGGGATGACAATCTCCTTGAAGAAGAGGTCAATTCTGAATAGCACAGGAACCTGAAGAAGGCTAAAAGGTTAAAATGGGAACCTGATGTTAGAGACCTTTGATGAGAACAGAAGAACAGCAGAACTTTGAAGGCACTTGTGATGTCGGCTTTTGAAAGACATGCACCTCTGCATTTTAACAAGGGAAATGGCATGGTTCACTGTTGAGCATTTAAGAGAAAAATCGGGGAATGAGGCAATTTATGTTCGGAATAAGACTACCTTGAGTTGCAGACAAATCTATGATGATGTGCTTTTTCCCTGAATGCTCAGTGATGCCCAGTGGGCTGATACAAAAAAGGGGGAAAGGCGTTATAGGGAAGTGTCCAATTAGGAAACCCTCCCAGACTTCTTTGGCGACCAGGTTGTCAACAGCATCTGGGTCTTTGAGAGCTGACTAGAGATTTTTACAGGTACAAGAGACTGATGGCTGGGTGACAATCCTGGGGGAAAACCTGAAAAATCTTTTACTAAAAAGTTGACAAAATCTGGGTTAGGGTGATTTACTAAGGCTTCTTTTAATGCTAGTCGTTTCTTGCGGTGGTTGTGGGGGCATGCTGGGTGGGAATGGCCGCCGCCACAAGAAGGAGAAGGAGAAGGAGTGGAGATAGTGGCACTGAGACATGAGGCAAAAGGAATCGCTGTAATTGTTGCAAATAGTGCGGCCACCTAGCTGCATATTGGGTCTGTCCTTGTGTACCATATGGCAAAGGCATGCAAGGAATAGATGCTGTAGGTTTAGAAATTTCTGGTGTGGAGGCTAAAGCCAACCAGGTAAGAGCAGATGTACCGTTTATGGGCTGTGAAGTATTTTGATTGCAGCAATGATTTGTTGCCGAAAGTGAGTGGATACTGGGTAAGGTTTTGGAGCTGGTGGGTTAGGAGGAGGAATTGCTGAGGCCAGCAAAACTGAATAATATTAGAGTGGAAGAGAAAAGAAGGGGCCTGGGCTATAAAACTTGGCCATGTGCTGCTCCGACAAGGAGGAAGAAAAGGTTCTGGGTTAGAAGCATGAATAGTTGAATACCCAGTTGCATGAATTTTAGCTAAAGTATTGTAAAGAGAAGCCGAGGTGAGTGGAACTGGCAACCCGGTGCCATGAAGATTTGCTGAGGTGAGTTGCAAAGAAGGGATGGAAGACCGCAGAACTGGCAACCCAGTGCCTAGCGCGGAGAAGCACTAAATAGGAGGAACAGCTGAAGAGAGAGCTGGTATTTCCCTTCCGGGAAATGCGAAATGGTGGCTGGATGTGGCTTTTGCTGGCTGATGGGTGGGAGTGCAAGGTGCGGAAAGCTTCACTGTTGGAGGCGTTGTCTTCATTTATGCCCAAAAGTGGATTATTTATGTTTGTTGTATCGATGTTGGAGCATTGAGAAGTTAAAAAGAATTGTAATAAGCTTTGTCTTCTTGTCGGACTAGTGAAATTGAATACCTTTCTCTTTTAAACTTATTCAAGACAGGCTACAGTCCAGTCTGAAATCTGGGGGGAGGACGCCTTCGGGAGACCCTTCTGGGGTGTGGAAACAGCAGCATATCTTTGGAGTTAGGCTTTGTGATGAATCAGATTTTTGGGAAGCTCTACAGGGCTGGAGCCCCATCTTAGAGTGATAAAGAGTGGAGCTGCCCCGTGAAGTTTTGCTGGTGGTTGATCTTCCTCTAATCGAAGTTGGGAGGTTATGATTTCACAGGGATAGCGAGCGACCAGAGTTGCTGTATTGCTAAATGGAGCGGAGAGAGGAATTCTGAGGTTTGGATATAGTAGACTGGATTGCCAAGTGGCAAGAATGACTACTGGAAGGTTCCCTATGCAGCGAGCGGCGATCAGTCTCTCTGCGGTGGCTCCACTATGACATTTAGAAATGGGAGTTTGGGATTCCTGGACTGCTTGAAAGATATCTGATAAAGAAGGACTGAGATCTTAGTCTGATGGGGTGAGGGACAAGAAATTCATGATGACCAGCTGAACAGGTGAGTAGGATCTATGCTCTTAGAACGCTTTTAGAGTTGTTTGACATCGTATAGTGTTCGCATGAAAATGAGAACAGCAGGTATTAGTGAAGGGGGCATATATATATTACACTGGAGACTAAAAGGGGCGTGAATGAGGAGTGAGTGAAATTCAGATAAAATATCTCCGCTTATAGAAAAAGCATATAATTTAGTTGATACTCAATCCTTAGTTGTGCTGCAATAAACCTAGGTTCCTGGGAGACTTCCCATGATGCACTGATTGCTTCTGTTTCACTCACTGTTTGGTTACACACTTCTCTGCATTTAATCATTAGTTATCATTAATCTCTGGCTCTCTTCCATAGCATATCTTTGTCCTGAAATTGAGGAATAATAATAATAATAATAATAATGGATTGCATTTATATAGCGCTTTTCGAGACCCTCAAAGCGCTTTACAATTCCACTATTCATTCACTCTCACATTCACACACTGGTGGAGGCAAGCTATAGTTGTAGCCACAGCTGCCCTGAGGCAGACTGACAGAAGCGAGGTTGCTATATCGCGCCATCGGCCCTTCTGGCGATCACCAGTAGGCGGTAGGTGAAGTGTCTTGCCCAAGGACACAACGACCAAGACAGACAGAGCTGGGGATCGAACCGGCAACCTTCCAGTTACAAGATGAGCTTCCCAACCCCCTGAACCACGGTCACCCCACAAATGAAAGCATTCACAGTCTAACAGTATGCTTAAAAACAAAACAAAAAAAACAAAACAGTTAAGAGCCATAAATATGAACCAGCACATGGGAAGCTGCACCAGCCGATTTCTTTCTAGACTTTAGTACAGTGAGTACAAAAGAGGCATGTGTTCTTATGCCAAAAGGAATCATCTCAAGCCGATGAAACAATGAAGAAAAAAAATGAATAAAGAAAAAAAAAAAAAATAGACACTTCTGTGATCCAGTCATGTCCGCATGCTCAACTTGCAAGGACTTTGACAAACTTATCCATCATAGATATTACACTATTGCAGACAGCGCCAGGGAGAGAAAACTGTCTGGGTAAAACTTTTCCCTTGGTGGATTGGGCCATTGCACTACCTCCCCCTACTCACTCATTTTGATGGAAGAGGAGACAAAGAGTGGATATAACACAGTATGGGCTATGGCTATTCAACCTTTGCTAACAAGAATCAGTGGAGGAGGCAGCCCACACTTCTTTCAGCAGTGCACAGAGTACACACATACACACACAATGCCTCAAGACTATTGTGTGCAGATAAGTTTTAGTATAATGACTTTTGCTACACTTAAGTCTAGCTACCAACAGTCCATCAGTAATCCAGTAAAACCGATCCAGAAACAGACTTTTAGAAATAATGATTTCCAAAAACACACCTTCTGTAATTTATTGCATTACCTTTTTTCAGAAGCACCACTTAGAAATATTTAAAGGAGCTATGTGTGAATGTCATAACGTTGTTGTCTTTGCCAGCAGCTGTTGTACATTTAAATTGTGCATTTTAGCATTTTACTGGGCCATTCATTGTGGTGCCACTTGACTCTCCATAACATAACTAAGTATATAATAGTATAATAATAGTATATGTAGAGCAGAGCATCTAGTAATCGAAAGATTTGTGTTGCAATCCCTGGCTACTCCAGTCTGCATGCCAAATACCCTCGGGCAAGATACTAACCCCAAGTTGCTCTCTAGTCCATATACCATTTAATTGAGTTTGTGTCGAAAATTATTATCAGAATAATCAGAGTTTTTCCTTAGCAGAGGTAGCCAAAATCAAAGTACTGCAATGCACAGCATGCCTAACATTCATAGTTACTTATGATTGGCTAGGGAAGTAGCTCTAAATTTCTTTTAAATTGTTAGTGCAATCAATTAGAAAATTTTCAATTAGAAAAACCCTCTCGATTTAAGCAAACTCAGAACTTCCAATATGCTTACCCACTGACTTGACCTCTGGTCAGTTTAACAAAAATA